AAATTTAGTAAGGCTTATTTGTTTTCAGATCATTTTGTTAACAGTGTTTTTCTGAAACAAGAAAAAGTTGAAAAAAAAAACATCAATTGATGTTTCAGAATTGTGTTAACCAATTTTGTTTCTGAACCAAGGCATTGCAAAATCAGTATTCACACTGCAGACTTTAAAATGCTTGAAAACCAGTGTTTCCTGTTTTTAAATGTTTTTTCATTTTTAAAAATTTTAAAAAACCATCTGCTTTGACCAGAGCAACTTTGAAACCAGTGTTTTTTTCTGGTTTAAATTTTTTTCATGTTTGAAATTGCAAAAATAATTTGCTTAACAGAGCATCTCCAATTTTCTCAAGGTGTTGCCTTGCATGTGGCAAGCCAGACAGTTGAAAAACACAGCCAAAGTTTTTTTAAGGTCATGTTTCTTTGCTGGCTTTGTTCAGCCTTTGCAGGTGCAAACAGGAAAAATGCACGTCAAGTTAAGCATAAGTCTTGGCTTCAACGCGAACAAGGGAAACCGGTGGATGGGCTGCGACGACCGCAATTGCAGACCGCAAGGTTGTGGTGGCGGGCCGTGGACATGAGGCATGACTCAATGACTCATGACTCATGACTATGACATGACTCATGACTCATAACTCATGACTTCCATGTCTTTGCACTTTCGTTTGATGTTGGTTTGATGGTAGGTGCGCCGTCTCATCCCTCTTTGAATCTCCTTGCTCTAGCTTACTGGGGCGCTGTTGCGTCGAAGAAGCAGTGGAGGAAAAAAAATGACTCATGACTTCCACAAAATACATTCTGTTTTTTTTTGAACGCCGCTTTTTTTCTATGTTTTTTAAGATTTTCAATATGTTAAATTTTGATCCAAAGCAAGCCGGTTGGCTTAGTTTCAAAAAGTTAGTATGGATCATCTTGTTCATTTTGTTGACAATGTTTCTTAAACAAGGAAAAATTGAACAAAAATCAATTAACGTTTTTTTTGATTTTGTTTTTCAGGCAAGTTTGTTCAGAGCGATTCTGTTTCTAAACAAGGCATTCCAAAATTATTATTCATATTGCAGACTTTGAAATGCTTCGAAACCAGTTTTTTTCTGTGTTTTAAACGTTTTTTCATGTTTGAAATTTAAAAAACAATTTGCTTTAAAAAACGTAGCAAAAGAGCATCTCCAATTTGCATCTCAAGTATGGTGTGGCCTGCATGTGTCGCCAGAACAGCTGAAAAACACAGACCAAGTTCTTTGAGGTCCTGTTTCATTGCTGGTGGTTTTGTTTCAGCCTTTTCTGCAAACAGGAAAAAATGCACGTCAAGCCAAACAGCAGAAAAGAAAGATGGGCTGAGTTTGAAGTCTTGGCTGGATTCGACGCGAACAAAGCTGAAAGGAAACCAAGGCAGTTTTTCATTGTTCATGACCCGTGTTTGTGGCCGATTCATGGTTCCTGATTCATGATGATCTCATGACTCATGACTCATGACTCGTGGCTCATCATGATCTCATGTCATGAGTCATGACTGAATGAATGATTGATGACTGATGATTGATGATTCATACTTCACAATGCATAATGATTCATGATGCGATGCGATGATGCGATTATGATTGATGCCAATGCCAGGCAATGCGGCGGCAATGCCAGGCCAGGACCGCGTGCCAGCACCAGGACCGCCGGGAAGCCGGACTGCCAAGATGCCAGGGCTCAGGACTCAGGACCTGGCAGGATGATGATGACGACGATGATTGATGATGATGATGATGATGATGATGATGATACAATGACACGATATGATGATATATGATATGCTATGATCTGATATGATGATGATGATGATGATGATGATGATGATGATGATGGTATGATGATGATGATGATGATGCTGCTGATGATCTTCTGCTGAGGATCTGCTGACGCTGCTGGGCAATATGAGACTCTTGATGAGACTGCCGACAGGTTTGTTAATCTGGCCCTATGGCCCTAGAACACCATGCCGCGCCCGAAATTTCGGCCATTTTCTGATCTGTTCGAGTTTGGCTCGAATCGAGGCCCGCCGGCCAGTCGCTTTCGCCGCCTCGCCATGGGTCGGGGCTAATTCCTGCTTGGAAGAACACTTCTAGTATGGCTAAGGTAACAAGCCCACAGTTCCATATAAAGCGCCTTGTTCCGTTGCTTATAATTGTTACACATCAGAGACCAGCGTTAGCCTTTGGTGGTCCACTACCATGTGCGGCAATAGGCACCTTCACAATTGTCCAGTGGATGGTTTGCGTTGTATCCTCTTTAATGCGTGCACCCAAATGATATTGGAAAAGCCTGTACACGAAGTCGAAAACAAAAAAAAACATCAAAATGCTGCAATTAAGTCACTCAGTGATTGAGGTTTAGAGCGCTTCAAGACACTCAGAACACGGAAAAACCGTCGCACGCAGGGCAGCATCTCCTCCGTCTTCGCCGCAAAAGCTGATAACACGAAAAGGAGCAATGGCCTACACCCTGCGCCCTAGACCGAAACCCGGGACCCTGTAGCCTCTAAACCCAGAACCCTAGACCCTCAGGCCTCAACCCTAGACCAGAACGCAGAAACTTTCATGGTCCAGGAAGGGTTTAGGGCACGCGAAAACACGAAAGGAGCAATGGACTGGCTTCGACGTCTGTTTGTCGGTTCAAACAGAGTACCTTTGAGCCTAAAAACCCGACCCTCGAACCTGAAAATAAACCCTGGACACTTAGCTCCGTCGTAGGTAATGGGGCCATGTAATCCATGTGGCCCCCTGATTTGATGCCAAGCAGAGAGTGCTTCGCACCCCCATTTTGCCGTCAGGCAAAAAACCCAAGTGTTCTCTTGCAAAGCCACTTTGAAATCGGCCTAACATCCAAAAGGGCAGCTAGCCATGCTGGCTGCCGCCTTGCATGCATGGTTTCTCTTTGTGGAAGATACTAAGGCCACGCCTTTGGGTGTTAGCCAATACTGGAACAACGGACTAGCCCTGCGGGTGCAGCAAGTTCTTGCAGCCTTCGTCTTTCCTGCTTTCCAGTACCCGCCCCCAAAGTCTTACTTAACGCCTGCAGGGAAGTGTCGGTCGCTCTTCATCAGTGGAATGAACGGAAAAGAGAATACCGAACGTTGGTTACTCTGCACACTGCCTCCAAAGGTCCCATTGGACCAGGGGCACTTTGGGGCATAGGTTCATAGGCTTCTTCAGGTTTGCAATTTCATTTTCTGATGCACACAAATTCCGAAAGACTACAAGCTTTAGGTTTGCAATTTCGCTCCTGCTGCTTTTCCGGTTCAAAAGCTTCAGAGTGCCAATAAGTTGGAGTGATGCGCAATGCTTCTTATTTTTCTTTTAGCCTAGCGCTTAAACGGCTTGCAGTGGCAAGTGTGAATAAGAGGTTTCAACTGTTCTGCACGGCTGACGTAGATTTGGACTTTAGTTCCACAGAATCAGCATAGCACAAAACTGTTAGACTTAAGGTGCAAGTTTCTTTTGGTTAGACGCTTGCAGGTGTCCGCGCATGCTTAGGCACAGGTTTTTTGGGCGTACGCAGTGTAGTTGTTAATGTAATTTAAGTGCACAGGCCCCTGCAGGTCAAATTTACATAAGGTCCCCCAAATGCCAAGAGATTTTCGCTTGCGTGCGTGTTATGACTAAGCACTGTGGACTTGTGTTTCTCTGGTTAGTTGCAGCGTCTAGCAGAGAATCTCTTAATTGCTTTGCTTTGGGAAATTCCGCAAAACTCCAGTTGGAGCGCAGGCCAGGTGTATTTTCTTGTAAGGAAAACAGCCAAGAGAAAATTCCACAGTGCAACCCAGCACCTTTAGATTTGTGTTTAAATGGGTATTAACTTGCAACGTTCAATGGGATTACAGCTTGGCATTGTCCAAGAGAGACGCAAGGTTCTAACTAGGAACAACACCTACGTTTGCTAATTTTCTGGATTGTCCAAGAGGTACCATCCAGAAGAATTTCCGTTGCGGCGCAGGTACAAGGTTACAACCTCAAATCCCAGAAACTCCAATAAATAATGGCTCACATTCAGCAAACACCACCTCTTGGAACAAGTGGGCAATTTAAGAGTGGTGTTTTGCTAAAGTTCAAAGCGAGCCTTTGGCAATTGTGCGGAACGTACAAACGATAAACGAACGAAAGCGCACGCCTTACGGGGCGTGCGCTTTCGTTCGTTTATCGTTCGTACGTTCCGCATGATGATGCTCATGATGATGATGATGATGATGATGATGATGAGGCTGATGAGGCTGATGAGGCTGATGCTGATGCTGATGCTGATGCTGATGCTGATGATGATGATGATCATGATGATGATGATGATGATGCTGATGGTGATGATACTGTGATGATGATGATGATGATGATGATGATGATGGCGATGATGTTGGTGAAGTGGAAATGCTGGATGAAGGTGGTTCTGCAAAGCAGGACGATGTGTTCGCTGCGTTGAAGAAGACATCCGGAAGCTCATTGAGGCGCTTTTCGGAATTTCCACTGGATGACCTACCGGACCTACCGGTGAGATGCCGACTTTGACTTTGTGTTGTTTTGCCGGCTTGGTTTTGGACTTGGAAGGCAGCTGCTTGGCTGTCACTGACGTCGGATATTGCAGCTAAAGACGCTTCTTGGAGTTTGCCTGCACTTAATACAGTTGGCAGAATTTTTGTGGCATGTCTGCATGCCTTGCGGAGTATTTCGTGCCATTTGCCTGTTGGGCTGCTTTGGATTTGTGTTGGCATACGAGCTGATACGGATTACCAAGTTAACAATACATTAAGATGATCGTTTCATGCGCGCTCGTAGGCTACCAGTATGCCTGCTGCAAGCTGGAGTTTGGTGGCTATAGAGAAGTTCAACAGAGGCAGAAGCAAAGTGTTCTAGTTGTCACAGCCTGTCGTCTTTGAAAGGCATGTTACTGTAAACATGTTGTACGTACATCACGTTCATGGATCATTGGTGCTATACGAGTTGCGTCATGGTCCCCATCCGCAGCCCGTGCGGCATGGTGCCGGATTTTTCGGCAGAAGACAGATATGTTCGTCATCAGCGTGGATTATTCGCTGCTCGGCGCTTACCATCACGCTTGTATACATTGGTTTCTTGTAGGGTCCGTTCTTGCAGTTGTTAAAAGACAAAAATCAGCTACACAGTGAGGAAGCGCAGCGACTTTGAAATGTGTAGGGTTTAGCATTGAATCCCCCAATGTGCCAGACGTGCAAGTTGCAGGTTACCGTCCTGCCTCGAGCACTGACAACAACTGCGGTGATGAGCTTACTTGAATGTAGTTGATTCTCATATGGCAGCAATTTTCGACTCAGCAGACGTGCATGACATGAACGATGTTTAGCTTCACTGTTGAAATAATGCTTGTTGACTACTTTGCTATTGTGTGCGATGTAATCCAAGCAATCGAACCCGAGAATGGGTATGTCTGGACGAGCTAGTGCCATGATCCATCAGTGTTGATGCGAGCAGTTCGGGTTTATTTCATGCATTGTTTTGCGTTGCACAGCAAACCTGCTCATGGTTGTAGGGATTGTCACCTTTCGACATCGAGGGACGGAACTTTGCCATCAAATTTGAGAGTTTTGGAACTGTGTGCCCAGGTCAGTCCGCAGCCACTTGCCCACGGCAAGATGCTTCTGCCGGCACCGGCTCCACAGGTGTTTTCTGAAGTCTTCAAACACGTGCGTACAATATCTGCACTGACACCATGCATGTGTCTGCACGCTCATGCGAGTGTTAGTTTTGCGTCGGACCTTGAGAGGTTGTCCCTCATGCTCAACCAGCACAATTGCAGGTGCGGGTCGCATGAAGCGGGGTTTCAGGTGTGATGCAATGTGTTTCCTCAGCGGTGTTATTTGCACGGCACAATCCCTGGTGTCTTTGTTTTTCGGAGAATTCTGAACAAATGGAACACCGATGATGTTTGCATGGCTAGCCCGTAGAAGTTCATTCTAGTCGGCATCTAGGTGCTTGCTGCTCCGGAGTGTTGCCTTGTGCAGATGCATGTTTTGGGCTGTCTGTGCGATTTGCTTGCGGTGTGAAGTCATGTGGCATTCGGCATGGTCAGCCCTAGACATGGGTCCCTAGACATGGGTCAAAGTGCTTGAACTGATCAGTCTTGTGTAGACTTTTCCATCTGTTTGCTTTATCTGCCAAATGTTGAAGGAAGCGCCTATGCTTCGGCATAATTGCAGCATAGAGTTAGGCGCTCATTTAAAGCACTCTTCCTGGGATACGTTTTTGTAGCTAACGTGAGAAGACCAGGATGTGCAGCGCGATCTTCACAGCGTGGTGCGCAGTCTGCAACGACAGGCCCATACTGTGTACCGTCTCACGCTGTGGGGCATCGGAGCTGAATGAGATTGCCATCCGATTTATTGGTAAGTATCCAGGCTCGTAGCATCGTCGCAACCCCGCGGCTCAATTGCTGTCTTCATCTGACGTGAAGTGTGTTGGAGTGGTCCACATCTTGCACTACTTTGAACTGATGGGGCATGCCTTGGGCCTTGATGTGATGTGCGCGTTGCAGAGTGATGGCATGGCGTCAGGTCGACGAGCTCCAGGCCCGGCTGCCCACACCTTGACCTGCCAGAGAACGCGTGCCTGTTGTGCTTGAGTTTTTAGCATTGTGTTCCGTAGTGCACCACAAGAGCTCCATTCGCCCACATGTTTTTTGAACAGTGCTTGGGAGGACATGGTGCGATCTTTGCAGCAGCCTTCGACAAGTGAGGCTGAAGAAACCACGCTCAGCTGAGGAAGTCAAACGATTCGAAAAAAACCTGGAGCATTTGCTCCTTCTAGGCTTACCTTCAGCAAAGCAGAGTGAAGAAGAGAGCGATGTGACATGGATCGCGAAGTGAAGGGGTGAAGGATGGTGAGCTGTAGGACAAAGAGGAGGAGAGCGAAAGATGGGGTGTGGAAGAATTGAGCGTCTTCAAAGACCTTGCATTGGTTCGCAATGGCTTGTGCATTCAGCAGAAGATGCCAGGCAGCACACGCCATAATTAAGTGAAAGCCCAGCTCCAGAAACGTCCAGAGTTGGAGCCAGGCTGTTGACAGACCGTCCGCCACGGTTCATGAGGCCACAAATTTTTGTGGATTGTGTTTGGAGCTTGATTCTTGCTTGTCTTCGTTTCATTCTTCTCCCTTTGCTAGCCACCACCTTTTGAGCTGTGCAGGCATCGCCCTCAACAGCTGCACCGATCATGGCGCGCACGCCGTCAGAGGAAGTCCCCTGGCTGTGTTTCAAGCACCATGAGCCACAACGAACAGATCCTTGGCTGTCCGAGTGGACTCAAGGAAGAACGCAAAATCACTGGAGGCGCTGTTGCAGATGTATCGGCAGCGGCGGGCAGAGGTTGAGGAGTGCCGCCCGGAGGCACGGGCAGGGATTGGCGACAGGTTCCAGTCGCAGAGTTAGAGTCTGTGAGGAGATGCGTGTGTGTGAAAGGCAATGTAGAGGCCTTTGCGCAGGACAGCAGGACACGTCTTGGTCTTTTGAGCTTTGCAGCACGGCACTGTCGCCTGCCTGGCTCGAGCCTTCCTGGTTTCCAGCCACGACGGCGGGAGGCGTGGACAGGCGCGACCCCGAAAGCCACAATCTGCCATTTCTCAGCCATCTCTCCTTTCTGGTCATTGTGAGAGTGCCGTGCAAGTCTCCGCAGCAGCTTGTGAGGTTCATGGCGTGCTTAGGTTTTGCCAAGCTTAAGTGGGCACGACAAAGCTGCAAAAGCGGAATCGTGCGGCCATAACTGTACAAGACTGCACCCCTACTCGAGCTCCTGCGTTGTAGTCGGAGCACGGTTCCAGCTGTTTCGAAGCAGTCCACGACCATTCGGTGACCATTCCAGGACATGGAAGGGCCTCATTTTGAGCCTCCAAGGAAGCGAGGCCTTGCCTTGCCTTGCGAGGTTGTGTTTTTGTTCACATGATTTTTCATTATGTTTGTTCGTTATGTTTTCCTACGTTTCTTTTCGCCAGCTTGCGACGCATGTGGAGCCAGGCGACTTCCTCGCCTCGCGGCCGAGGCGCGGGGACCAAGTATGAGGATGTTGTTCAGATGTTGAGAAGTCAATACTTGGACACTTGTGATTTCTTGTGATTTTCTCTTCTATGTCCTTTTCGGTCTTTTGCCTGCCTCCTCTTTGAGTCCCTCTCTCGTTGAACGGCTGGCAGATTACACGGAAGCCGCTACGTCGATGCCCTGCCGGATGTCGATCAGCAGCTGGAGAATGCCATTGTTTCTCCCTCAGAGGCTTCAGGCGCTCACTTGCTTTCCTCAGCTGTTTTCCAGTGCTTTGTGTTCCTACGTCGTGCTGTTGAGAAGGTGATGGGTGACCTGGCATGGGTGAAGGACGCTGCGCCGAGATGTTGTGCTTGTTGGAGGGTCAAATGGGCAAGCCGGAACCGTCGAGTGAGAACTCCCTGAGGACTGCATCAAGAAAGGTGCCAATGTGAATTGCCGACTCGATGAGAAGGGCTTCACCCCTCTGATGCTGGCCTCGGAAGGCTCCACAAGCGTCGGATTAGAGATGATTTCGGGCTCGAGAGAGACAGCCCGATTTTGCAGAGTCACTGTTCAGTGTGTTGCGCATGTCGGGGGCCATGGGCCTTCAGCAGCTCCATTCTAAAGCAGAGTCGACCTGTTCTGCATGTTTGCGCCTTTGTGTCTACAGTGGAGTTTCGATGTTTCACGGCGGTTGGGCGCGTTGAGGTGGCTGGGCAAACATCGTCAGATACATGGTTGAGAATACCGATGTAGAAATGGACGCAGTGGATTCCGGAGGCACGCTGCCATCACCGCCTTCGCAATGAGGCAATGTGATCAGATTGCCTGCAGGCTTTAATGCGGCGGATATTGCGGCGCTGAACGGCTACCTTAGTTGGGAGGAGAGAGGCACCTTGACAGGGAGATCAGCATAGTCAACGTGCAGCGTAGTCAGCTTGGTCTTGCATCAGCCCTGATTTCAAGTGTGCCAAGTGTGCCAGTGATTGGTTTTTGCCTCAGGTAAGAATGCGGATGTTGCAGACATTGTCAATTATCTGAAGGCTGTGATGCACCTGCACCATGTTTCCATGGCCATTGTGAGCTCTGGGTTGTTTTTGAGAGTGCAGGACAGAGGCCTCGAGTACACTTGGAGAGGAGCCATTATTGGTGCGGTGCCCCAAAATCTCAAACCTGGCTGTTTCGCACGATGGCCGAACATGAGGCGGTGACATTGATCGCATCAACGAGTTCTTGGAGAATGGTCAGGACATTGAGGAACGAACGGGCCACTTGGCACCAAACCATGAAAAGCAAAGCAGATGAGGTCAATGAATAGAGGAACTGAAGACACAGGTTGCGTCCGTGTTTCTCCTTTGTTTCCCCTCGTTTCCCGTTGTGTGCCGTTGTTCTTTTTTGTTCGTGTTTGAGGCTACTACTGCGAGGGCACCTTGGTCGCAAGAGCGGAAGACAGAATGTGCACTAGATGGTCGTGCCACCGTAGCGTTGGGATGCCAGTAGCAGTGGACAGCGATTCAGCCTCATCAATCCCTTGCCACGGCCATGAACGGACCAATGCTGCATCTACCAGGAACTACCGGCTTGCGACAAGCGCGTCTGCGCGAAGCTGTTGATGCATCATATGGCACTCTCCCTCAATCGGCGGCGAAGGGTATGAAACCGGAGCCCAAAAAGGGTACGCGCCAAGGGCCGGGGGTAATGCGACAGGCATGTTGGCCCACACTCAAATCGACTTCGTAATTGAAACGCTGCTGTCTCGGCAGCCGCGTTGGCCCAGAGCAGGGTGCAGTAGCTTTAGCCAAAGGCTAAGCGCGTTTTTGCTTGAAGCTTCGCAAAGAAAGCTAGGCAGCCGGGTCCTCAGAGGTGTCAGGGGGTTTGTCAGGCGGCGTCTTAGGGCCCTCAGGGGGTTCCAGGGGGTTCCAGGGGGCACCAGGGAGGCTAGGAGAGGGGGCCCAGTTTCTCGCATTTCTGGGCGCTCTGAGGAGCCGACAGGTGGGACCCGGTGCGTCATCGCTCAACTCTTCTGCGCACGTGCCCGTGCGCTGTCCAGAGTCAACGTTTTTACCTGCAGATCGCTGAAGAGGTTGCAGCAGATGTAGAAGATCGCAGGGCAAGGACCTCGATGTAACACCTGCGCCACACCAAATTTCTTTGATCTAGACTGGGTCAGTGACATCCCGATGTTGCAACAGTTTATGCATGCCGGGCGGGCCCGAGTGCTTCGGTATTTCCGGAGCTTATGAGATCCCACGCTTTTCACTGCATTCCACGACTGAGGGGGGGTTCTGTTCTGTACTCTTAAAGCCAGACAAGCACCCAGGGCAGAAACAATGCACCAGCAGGCAAGCTGTCCGCGTATTCGTAGCCGCTTTGACTCTTGTTGTTCTGGACCAATGTGGTGTGCGTTTATGCCTGTTAGATATGTATCTTCTTGATCCCGACCCGCTGGCATTCGCAAAATTTTTAGTCTACAATGCCATCCCCATAGACAATTATACAGGGCTCGAAACAAGCGTCTGGATTTTCCGCTGCTGCCAAATTGGCACAGAGGTCTGATGTTGCTGTTGTATGTTGCATTTTCATGCCTGCGTAAAAATCCAAAATTAGCAGAACCGGTTTCTTTATCCCGAAAATTCAAATGTTGAGTAGTAAAAGCTGCATTCGCAATGTTCTTGCTTTTTCCAGCCTCCAGAGACGTTCTTGCTTTTTCCTCCGGCAATTTCAGTCCAAACGAAAAAGAAAAAGCAACAAAACTAATAATTTCTTCCAAAGTCATATAAAATCGTGTCACATAAATGACAATCCTGCTTCAGTCCTTGACAACCCTTGGTGAAGGGAGCGAATCTAGAGCCGCTTCGTGCCTTCAGGCAACTACCAGTACACAGCCTTCCAAATGGCCATGAAGTTTGGGCGCCAGAACGTTGCCCGCTACCTCTTGTGTGTGGTACTCAGCCGCGTCCCGCAGGCAAGCGGCAGACCTGCAGTGAGTTACTTAGTAGCCTCACTTCATCCAGTCAGACGCAATCTGCTTTCTGAGGCCTGGGTGCCGTGATACCCAGGGACATCTGCGAGACGCAGATACCCTTCGAAAGTGAGCTGAGGGGGTTCACGTAGTGGCGCAAAAAAAGGACATCAAGCAACTTCACTTGTGACTCTATGTGACTCTTCCATTCTAGTGCAACTCGTAGCCTCAAGACATCTGTGCGACAGCTGTGGGCTTTACGGCCTGATCGTAGACACCTATGCGGCTACACGCGTGTTGAGCTTCGCTTCGGGTGAGAGCCGAGAGCCGCTTTGGCCGGGACTCCACACTCTGCTGATTCATGTCGTGTCTGCTGCGACAGCTGACGAAAGAGAGCCCCCAACGCGCACTGTCCGATGCACCGAATTGAAATCTCGACGCAGGTAGAATTGCTGGAATCTTGATGTTTCGCATTTCGCCCTTGTGCGAGAGCGTTGCCACCTGCAAGGTCCCTCCATCATTCCGCCAGCGGTCTAAGGAGAGCGCGGAGAGTTTGGAAGCTGGTGCCTGAGTTCCCTGGAGTACTGACATGCTACTGACATGCTTTATCCTGCACCTCTCAAGACGATGCCTGCATATTGCCATAGCATAGGCATAGTTGCTACATGAAGCCTGCGTGCTTGGTCAGTCTTGACATACCACAACTTGCCTCCTCGACACAAGGCGCCTGTACCCTCAGCACAAGACAGCGTGCCTGAACGCCGGCGGCAGGCTGTTTTGTCACGCTTGGTGTTTGCAAGTGCCAGCACATGCCGTTAACACATACCGCTGGTGCGGGGTGGGGTGTTGGTTCATATGGGCTAGGCGCCAACACGCTCGTGGTCCTTGGGGACGTGCCGAGGCAGACTGAAGTTGACTGAAGGACTTCTTCTGTTGTTGTGACTATGATACTGAGCCTTGCTGGGCTGCGCCAAGCCTCAAGTCAATGCCAGTGCAGGTCCCAACCTCTGGCAGGCACGAGATTGTCGGGTGCTACTTGCGTCTTGCACCACGTGTTATGGACAGCATGAAGCACAGCATGAGGCAAACGCCTCCGCACGTCACTTGCTGCTTCAGGTTCTTCAACACCGACTGGGACTGCACCCCCAGGATGATAGGGGGAGAGTGTCTGCATCCCGTGTAACGAGGGGGTCTCCGTGGTACTTGTGCGAAGTTGCAAAGAGCGGATTTGTCCAGGACGTGCAGACTAACCAGCTCGGAAGGCACCTTGGGCCTCCAGAGTTTTTAGGGCGGCTTAGGACTTTGTTTGGGGTAACCGGGAATCATATGGTATCATGAACTCTCAGCACAGCATAGCCTCCACTCGATATGAGTCGTTTGCCAGCTGCCCAGTTGGGCCCCTCAGACGCATGTCTAGTGAATTTCCATTGAATGCTTGGCTTGGAAAAGGCGCCCGAAGTTGACAGCGTCCAAGGCCGCGGGAATACAGGTGCATGTGACACGTTCAGTACGTGCTCAAGATGAACTGGAAGGTGAAGACGTGCGGGTGTTCTCAGATGCTTATGTTTGCATGTGCATGCGAAAGGAGCGTGCTGCCGCTTCGGCAGTACCCTCATCTGAAGAGGCCTGCTGGGCTACTTTTTCCCGACGTGCCGTTTGCCTGGTCTGAGCACTGGAAGACTGCACATGCACAAGCGCCCATGCATTCAGAATGGCTGCTGCGCTTCTGCATCAGCATCCTCCCAAAAGAACACACAAAAAGGTATGTCGTTCAATGCACTGAGATGGGTTCCCACAGCTCGCATGAGTCTCTTGGTCTCCATGTGATACTCGACCTGCCTTCACATCCTCTCCTGGCTTGTCAGGTGACGCGAAATATGTCGTGGCGAGAGCAGAGCTGACCTGCTTGATGGTTGCAGGTGGTGGGGTCTGCCAAAGCTTTCCAGGCTCTTTGCAGATGCCAGGATTGCCGACTACATTGCCGAAGATCTCCAGACCCGCTACGGCTGCTTGGAGGCGCGACATGTCGCTTGGTAGGTCCTGCAGAGCCCCAAACAGGCTCCGAAACAAGCTTGCCGGAGAGCCCCAAACAAGCTCCGAAGGCCCGGAGAACCCCAGAGAGAGGCCCCGAAGAGACCCCGAGAGGCCCAGAAGAGGCCTCTCCTTTGACCATGCGTTTCTTATTGTGGTTCTTGGATTTCTTTGTCGCGGTTCCCCCTTCGTTTCTTATTGTGGTTACACACCTGCCTCCTTGAGTTGATGGGTATTGATGAAGGTGGCCGCGGCAACCGCTGCCTTCGCTCTGCAGATGTGCGACCCCCGAGAACGGACCCAGTCAGCCCTCGAAACTGAAGTCAGTGTTCAAGGTGCACCGAGCACGACATCAACGCCTGCTTGATGCAAATGGGTGAAGGCGAAAAAGGCAGCTTTGCCATATTGCTCAACTTCTTATCATTCCTGATCAGCTGCTTCGATTCTCCTGCAGGACTACGATCTGCCCCGCTGTCGACAGTGGCTGGGCATTTGCCGAGCGTCAGCTTCGGTGCCCAGGCTTTCGAGGATCCGCTCAGATCCATGGGCCTCTTAAGTCTTCCCTTTCAAAGGTGAGTAGTGGAGGTTGAAGGAGCTTCAGGTGACGTAGCAGGAAGTTGGCTTTCTTTTTTTGAAAGGCGCGTCTGTGTGGCATGTGGTGCACTAGTCATCCCGATGTCAAGGGGCTGTTTCCGTTCGGCTGGGGTTTGCTCTACAATGATGGTGTGGTAATGTGGCATGTGCTGAGGCATCTTGTTGCGTGGTCCCTGCCTTGCAAGTAAGCCTCTTCAGATAGAGCATCTTTGCAGCTTCCACCCTCAAGCACCTGCGAAAGTCCACAGGCATGGTTGCACACTTGGGCCTGCATGGGTGATGCTTATAGACTCATAGTGCGTAGGTGACTATAAGGAACTGGAAATGACAGTGGCTGCGAGAATCTGAAATCCATGAAGGCATGAGCTTTGTCAGCTGATATACTCCATGAACCATGCACCCAGCGGACAGCCGAGCAAGACAAGCTGGCATACGCAAGTGCCGTGTCGCATGTTCCGGGTGCTCAGCCTCAGCGGCGAAAATGTGTTGCGGCTGGACCTGGAGGAGTGGACGATTCAATGGTATCCTTGTGTAATGACTGTGCAGCAAGCTGGGTTTCATGGTTTACCAACGAGTACTCTCAGCAGGAATTGAATCACGAGTGCTGCTTGGACTTTGCCCACTTTGTCAAGAGCGAGATCCATGAGCACACAGGCGTCCCTCACTTTCGGCAGAGGCACAGCTGTGGCGTGGGAAGGTGACAGATTGCATGCTGTTTGGCTGTTTGGTCCTCGGAGCACCCTAAACCCTGACCCCCCGAAGCCCCAAAGCGAAACACAGGCTCTTGATGGAGGAGGGGAAGTCGTGGGAGCAACTCGGAAGCTCGGGCTGAAAAAGTCTTTGGGGGGGGGGGTTGGTTTTCGTGACCTTTGCTTGTAGGGCACCCTGTTGGTTTAAAAGGTGTTCTACCATATGAAAGGTTTCAACAGGGGGGACCCTGATCTAGAACACCCCCTCACTGCGACATCCGAAGCTCCGGGGGGGGGGGGTCCTGGTCTTTGAGACCCTTCAGATCAGGACACCCACACGAAGTGCAGGTGGTTCTGAACCAGGCAGGGGTTCTCTTTTTTTTCTCAACTCTGCGGCCCCCTGGTTGTTTTGCATGGAGAGAGAAGCGTATTTGAGTGTTTTGTAGGTCTCCTGCTGTTGCCGGGAGGCACTTAATGTAGCACTGGCTTCCCCTCCGCCCCACCAAACAAATCTGGGACCCTTTTTAAGGAAATGCCCGAGAGCAGCCCAAACAAATTTACGGCGGGGGGGAGCACTAGAGCTGTAGAGCCGAGGCCTTGAAGCCCTGAAACCTTCACGGCCAAAAGGCTTGAAGCTGTGTCTTCCTGGGCTGAAGCCACGGCCCGAAAACTCTCCGAAAGAAGCTTGTGGATGTGGCCAGTACCCAAACAAGCCTACTAAAACGAATCACGGAATTTAAGAATGTTGCAGATGGAACTGGACGGGCTTAGCTTCCCGCATGCTCCGGGTTCGGGCTGTAAGATTCCTGGAGCCCAAGGGGCCCGTAAGGCCCGAAACCTAGACCACGGAACCTGTAACAAAAAATATATCCTTAGGTGACCTTAACAGAAAGAGTTCATAGAATCATTCTGAATGATTATGGAAAGCTTGTGATTACAGACCCTAGCTTTACAAAAGCCAGTGCAACATTAAGCAGGATGTTGCTATGTGCTGCTTGCAGTGCCATACACCGCAGTTGCTGGGAGGGACTGAAAGCACACCCTGTTTGGGCAAAGTAAGCAGCACTCTTCAGCATCCAAGGGCCTTGTGCTGAAACCAGGAACTTATGGGCAGGGAAGACCGGGAGCCCTCCTCAAGCTAGAACAAAATCAGTTGAGGTGCGAGATGGCCGTAAAAACCACGGGTCATATGCGTCTGACGGAGGTGACTCATGACTTTGATGAGCAGCTGTTGACAGCGGCTGCAGAAGGACTTGCAAACCAATTCACGGTTGGGAGCCAGCAAATCGGTTGGCAAAGGCGGCCAGTAGCCTTTGAGATGTGTAAGCGCGTAAGCGCACAGCTGATGGCTAGCAAACAAGTACTGTACGTGATGCGAAAGGTAGTATTGCGTACGTAGCAACTCCTGTATTCGGATGCACTTGGCGCAATTGCACAGTTGTACAAACGTGTTCTTGGAAAGTTCAGTAGGACAGGGGTATCACCCCAACTTAATGGGAGTTTCGTTGCACGTGCTTTGTCAAAACTCTGTGTGCAAGCAGCCAGTTCCGCGAAGAAACGATTAGAAGCAGCACCAAAGAAATGTACCAGAACGGAGAGAAACTGTAGAACCGTAGCACATTGGCAACTCAGCTTCTGCCTAAGCTACATAGCCACCTGATGCCAAAGAGCTGGATTTGGTCAACAAGCACATGTATAGCGAAGTTGTATCAAGCTTGTCGGCAATCAGCCGCTTTGGTCAGTGCGGTCGTTTGAGTCGAGGAGATGGTGAGGCCGTTGGCAACCTTCTCAATCGCTACCAGGCACCTGTTCGGATACGATTGATATGATATGCAGGCCATGAGGCCAGATTCCAAATTTTCAAGCAGTTGACGGAAAGACAGAATAGCAGTCTTGTCCAATTCTGAAAGGATCCCAACTGTCGAGATGAGCGTGGGGAAACTGCTGTCTACAAGGCCCGGTTGTCCGGCTGGGACATGGTTGCAAGTTGCTCTTTTCTTAGGTTCTTGAGGGTGAGCAAGCGTCGCCATGTGTCGCCCTGAAGGCCAGCCAGGCAGGCTACTTGCATGTTCTGCAGATGTTGCTGGCAGCTGGCGGCGAGAAGGCCGCGCAGGGTGCAACTTTCTGTAGAGGAACATTGTGAAGAGTGGGGCGGCAGCTAGAAGATTGTGCGTTTTTCCGTGCTCGAAACAGGACACGGCCGACCAACATGGGAGCGTACCGCTTCACGTTGCCGCTTTGCGCGGACACCTGGATGTGGTTAAGGCCCTTGTCGAGGCCGGTGCAGACAAGGACTTGGCTGACCAGCACGGCGCCGTTGCTTTGCACATGGCTGCCTTGAACGGTGAGGTGCATGTGGTGCAGTTTCTAGTTGATAGCGGAGATGAGAAGGATAAGGTCGGTGGTCTGGGTGCTACGCCATTGCATATCGCAGCGGAGCGTGGTCACTTAGAAGTCGTCCGCTACTTGGTAAAGGCAAGGGCAAACATTGACTTCACGAACTTGCGTGGTGCACAAGGCATCCACATGGCTGCGCTTTCTGGACATGTGGAAGTGGTTAAACTGCTGGTCACCGCAAGGGCGGAAAAGGATCAGCGAGATAAGCACGGGGCCAGCCCATTGCAACTTGCAGCCGAGAGAGGCCAAGTGGCTGTTGTCAGGTACTTGCTGGAGGCTGGAGCAAAGACTGACCAGCGCGACCAGCATGGAAGCGTTCCGTTGCACGTGGGAGCTTTGCATGGACACCTGGAAGTTGTGAAAGTCCTTGTGGAAGCCAAGGCTGACAAGGAGTTAGTTGACCTGCATGGAGCCGGTGCTTTGCACATGGCGGCTCTAAATGGCGAGGTTGAGATTCTGCAGTTTCTTGTCGAATGCGGTGTTGACAAAGATCAAACTGGCGGTTTGGGCGCAACACCTCTGACCATCGCTGCTGAACGGGGTCAAGTCGAAGCTGTCCGCTTCTTGCTCGAAGCCGCTGCTGACCAGAACGCTACGAACCTTCGTGGCGCGGGGGCGATCCATATGGCAGCCTTAAGTGGGCACCTGGACGTTATACGCTTGCTGGTGGAGGCAGGTGTCGATCATGACCTGGCTGAGAAGAATGGTTCAACAGCATTGCACCTTGCCTCTGAGCGGGGGTACACTGAAGTGGTTACCTACCTTCTCCAGTCTCAAGCAAGCGTGGACAAGGCCGATGGCACGGGACGCACACCACTGCACTTGGCTGCCCTGTACGGGCACCTTGACATTGTCAAGTCTGTTATGGCACTCTGCTCAGACGCAGATTCCCTTGACGAACAGGATTTCAGGCCCCTTCAGCTTGCAGCTGAGAATGGTCACACAGAAGTGGTTCGGTACTTTCTTGAGGCCAAGGTTGACCAGGACACGTGGTGCTTGCGCACGCGCGTCGCGAGGGGTAGCAACAGTTCTATAGTACGCAGGAGAGGGCGCCGCGCGGAGTGACGCCCCTGCACTGTGCTGCACGGTGCGGCCAATGCCTGAGACTACCTCGTTTGGGCGTTTGGGTGTTTGGGACAAGTCGGTGAGGTGTCACGGGGTATCATGCGGTATCACGAGGTATCTCATTGCACCGTCGGGATTGAGCTCAGCCTCGTTGGAGGCTGCATGTGTAAGTTCTCACACAAAGGAGGCTCTTGGCCCATCTCTTCCCTTTCATAAGAATCATAACAATGAGAATAATTGAAATAATCAGAATAATAACAATAATAATAGTAATAATCATACTAAAACACTAAACCCTAAACCGTAAACCCTATTGTGCGGGGTCCTCAGGTCACCTGGGCGTCCTTCAGCTCCTCCTGGAGTTGCGTGGGGACATCGACAAGGAGCCTTCTTATGCATTTGCAGCACACAGCACGTCTTGGCTTCATCACAAAAAGAGGGCTTTCATGTTTTGTTCTATTTTTTTTGTGTGTTTTTGTTTGTTGGAAGGGCTTTCGAAAGGTGAGGAGACCTTACTAAAGATGTCTTTGCTCGAGTAGGGGGACTCTTCCTACCTCGCCCTGACCTTAGGCCGGTGTGGGTGGCGCGACATCGCTGCACTACGCGGCGAACTTTGGCCACCAGGATGCTCTGCATAATGTTCAGAGTCAACACATTCTTCTTACTACCCTGATAAGGGTTATTTAGGGCTTCAGAGCTTGCAGGAAATCCTGCAGAAGCTGGTCGAGGCAGTTCGAAGCTAAAGTGTGGCCGTACGCTGTAGCAGGTTGTGGAGTGAACTTCTACGTCTTCCACTTTAGCGGTTATGGCCGTTGCCACAAACCTGTTCAGCTCCATGAGAAGCACCTGCAGTCACCTCTTCCACTTCGGGGTGTATGCCTGGGATGACTGTGTTTCATCCGGCTTGGTTTTGTCTTGCCGATGCATGCTTTGAGGTAGCAGTTGTGATTGTGCACAACTCCTGCGGGAGAGATCGATGTCTATAGAACCCCTGGACAAATGTCATCAGCCAGAGGGGATCCGGGAACATCTTGCCGAAAGCTGTTACTTCGTGGGGAGGCAATGATACCAGAGCAAACGCTAAGCGGGCTTTGTGCGTCGGGGCCAGTTTCATGACTTTGCAGCATAGGCAGTGGGTGTTAAACGTCAGATCTTGTGAGGCTCGAGCTCGTCTGGGTGCGACCACTGACACTCGGCATTATTTGTCGTGCGCGCTGCCAGCTTCAAAATTACACCGAAAGAGTTTCTGCTCACGGGCCCCTTAGGGCCCCATGGTGTCAGTATGTGTCAGGCGCAGGGCCGTTCACCTCTGCTGCTAGCCGCGTCGCGAGGACACGCCGAGGCTCAGGGCTGAGGGCTGTAGGGAAGGCTGTGTCTTGATGCTTGAGGTTGAGGAATAGTCGGAGTTCTTGATGAAGCGCGGCACACGCCCGATGCTCGTAGCAGCATTCATTTTTGCCTGGATACAACAGTCGATCAGCGACACCTGAAGTAGATGTGAGAGGAAGAGCATCCGAGGGCAGAACATGCAATCCACAGCGCTTCTTCTTAAGGGTTGGGGTGCTCCTGCACATAGTTTTGAAGAGCTCCGCCACGGAGAAGCTCGCTTTGTCAGGTAGTGGCTGCCCTGGCCAAGGCAGGGTGAACCAATGTGAACCACCATGGCCAGCACAGATGTTGAGATGGTATTCAGCTGATGAGCAACTGAGGCCCGTGCTGATCTGGAGCAGCCGGCTCACAATGGAGTGGCCTGCCAGTAAAGAAATGCCTGTAGCGCGTTGTCTGAACCCTGGACACAAAGACTTACCCCTCACAGTCACGACTTGATGTCGTGCGCGCTTACAAATCCCTACAGCACAAGATCTATGCCTCAGGCTCCAAGGCCCTCGCATGTGTTGCCAGAATCTTTGAACCTCCTGCAGATTCCCTCGCTGCCCCTCTGAACCCAAAAGTAGAAGCAGCAGCGACCATCCTATGCATCCTGCTTGCGAGTTGACTCCTCGTTTGCATCCTCTTAGTACCGCCGTCAGAGGAGACTCCACTCTATGCTGCAGCGCAGGCAGGCTTTGGGGAGGCGCTCGGAAGTCAAAAGACTCTCAGGAAGAGTTCTCTCTTGCTCTTCCGCTCTTCAGCTCATCTCCGCCCCGCAGGTCTTGATTCTAGGGAGAAGGAAGAAAGGAGTGGAAGCAGGAGAGTAGACTTCCTTTATGAAGGGATGCTAGGTACTTTGGTCGAACCAAGATCCGTTGAGCACGGCAAAGGGAGTGGTCCTACTGTCAGTGAGTAGAGCTCCCGGGTAGATTTTTTTGTATACCGTTGACACATTGTCTGGCGCAATTCGGACCTCGCAATTACCTCTTCCGTCCTGGGCAGGTGGTCCGTGTGCTCCTGAACGACGACGACAGCTGGAAAGGCTGTCAGCCGCTGCGGGCTGCCTCGCGGTAGCCTGGCACAAGAGAAGCTGTGACTATAGCTTAGCCGCAGGATTTTCATAATTTTGTTGTTTTGTTCATGTAAACCCAAAGGAAACAGCAAAAACAATTTGTTTTTGTTGAGGTTCTAAGAATGAGGCTTAGGATGTCTTGGGGTTGGCCTCTTACAAAACACTTGCTTTGTTGGGTTTGAATGACGAACGAAGCCCAGAAGAGGATTTCTTTGGGTGTGGGTTTACAATACAAACCAAATTACATGTCATTATGAAGCGGGGCCAGAGGAGGATTTCATAGGGTGTGCTCGGTAATATAAAACTCCAAATAGATAACCAGTGAGGCTCAGAAGAGGATGTCTTGGGGCGGGGCGTCTTAGAATGTGTGTTTTGCTTGGGTCATTACGAACGAAGCTGTGGCTTTATCATACACGAGTCTATTTCAGGAAGAGGCCGCAGAAGAAGATTTCATAGGGTGTGGCCTCTAAGTATAGAATTATGTTCTTAGTGTGGGCTGCTTGTATAAAAGCAGCTTTTCAATGAACTAGCAGGGAAGCCCAGATGAGGATTTCTGAGGCTTTGTTACGAACAGGCAGGCCTGCGAAAGACGATTTCATAGGGCATGGGCTTTTAATAGGCAAATTTTAAAAAAGAACTAACATCCGAAAAACGTCGACGATGTTTATTCTAAACTATTTGTATGGAAACTTAGTACTGACCCCCTCCCTCTCTCCCCATTCGGCGAAGGCCTTCCGACCTAGATCATGGGGGGGCCAAGGGGGGGGGGGTGACCATATGTAGATATACACATATGTATATATGTGTGTGCAAAGCCTGCTCCAAGCTCGACGACCCAACGTTTGAAACCCAACGTCCCGAGCATCAAGTCCCAAGCGCAAAATCCGAAACCTAAAGTTCTGGACAGGAATTACCGACACAAATGCTGAAGCCCAAGCCCTGAATGTCATACCCAGACCTTAAACTCCAAAACCCCAAACCATACGCCCAGATCCTAAAGTTCCTTCTGGGGTCTTTTGCTTAAACTTGGGCCTAAACCTCAGTATCCAACAGCCTGAAGATATTTCTAAAGATACTTCTTCAAATGAATCCTAAACACAACACCCAAAAGTTAGATCCTAAACATAAATTTGGATTCAGCAACTTCGAGTCAAACCAAAACGCAGGCTTAAATTGCTCATGGGGTGCTGCTCCATGCTTCTGGCCCACAGGCTGCTTGGCTATCGCTGACAAGTTTGACGAGATCTGCAGTGGGGATCCGCAGGCGAACGCGAGCCGGAACATGATCCTCAGAAGTCGGCCTCTGAACGAAATGATGAGAAGCTCGGAGACAACTTTGGAGACCAGAGGCAGCTTAGAGAGCTTCTGCGCGTCCCTTTTCATCGAGCGAAATCACCTCGATAATACTCGAGATGTCAAAGGGCAAGCTGGCAATGCTCCAGTTTGTGAACAGGCGTGCAATGCAGAGGCTAAGAAAAGGTGGCTGAGAGACGCTCGTCTGTCCCTCACTTCTCTGAAACAGTGTCGGGGTCAGGACGCCCTTCTCGACGTCCTGCAGGCATGAAGCGAATGGGTTTCAGGAGTTGAGGAGTTGGACCGCCTCTGTCGTCTGACTTCCACTGTGCAGAGTTGAGAGCCATCACCATGCCGACCAGCATGTGCGTGACCAGCATGTGTCACCGTGTTGAGTGGCAGCTGCACGTGCAGCATTTGGCTCACACGGACTGTGTGACAAGACAGCGTACAAGTCCCGTGAAGCTTGCTATCCTGCTTGCAGTCAGAGGAGCTACTACATGTGGGCACTTGTCTATTGCGTTATAACAGAGACGGAGATGGATGTAGCTTGTGCAAGTCTCAGGAAACTTCACGACCTTCTAGGCTTTGCCCTGAGATGCACCGAAAGCACATCTTTCGATCCACCATCAGCAGCCGTTGGGCGGTGCTGGCAGCGCTGGTAGGCAAGGCTGCTTATGCTGATCATGGACCCTGCTCTAGTAGCCTTGCAAGGAGCCGTAGGTTTAGTGTGAAGCGACTAAGACGCATTGGTGAGGAGGGTTTCAAAACTTTCTTTAAGGGGAGCTGTGGAACTCTGCCGGATTGGGGTTGGAAGGTTCGGTTTTCACGCATTCTCCACCTTCGGCGCACATTGAAGAAATTCCGGCCTCAAAAGACACATGCGAGTCACCGCATTGCTTTCGGAGCAGTGTTAAGCTGTTGTGCCAGGGCTGACCTCGCCGCTTCCTTCCTTTGTGGTGGGTTCGATTCAAGAACCCCGGCACTGGTTCGGGCACTTTGGGCAGCCACTTGCTTTGGCGAAGGGCCACAAGGTGTCATGCGTCAGGAGACTTGGACGGTCAATATCTGCACTTGTTTGATGCAGGCGTGTCGCGTGTCTGCTTTCAGTTTCCTGATCTGGAAGCGTCTCTTTGAGTAGCTTGAAGGAGACGCAGTGTAGGAACATGTAGGAACCTTGGCAAGGAGCACTGTATGCTGCGCTAGTGGCAACAAGGCGGCTCGTGCCTGCTGATCTGCTTTGCGTTGCTGAGTTGATGGACTGCATGTGTAGCATGTTGCACCACATCCAGTGCAGGCAGCAGTCAGTGCGGTGGACGTCCAGTCTGCAGGACAGCAAGAGACGGGAGCGGAGCTCCGCATTTAATGTCTTCCGCCTCGGCAGGAAGCCTCGCTGTGGTGGGCGCCATCCTTGGCCCGGCGGTCGATGCACTCCATAACCAGGTGGGTACTGGTATGTGATGGTAAGTATCTGATTCTCTGGAGAAGTTTCCGACCAGCATGGTCAAGTTGGCTGAAGGCGCTCCTCCGCTACGATCTGTTGCCTGTGAGTGCGGACCTGGTCTTCGGCGTTGCCCGAACATCGCTCCTGGCGGCTGGGACATACCAATTTGCGAATGTCAGCACTTCGAATAACCAAGAAAAACCGCCATACCGTGAGCAATGCGTGCATAGTCCTACAGAATACAAACTGCTTCTAGTATGCGAAAGTCTTGAACGACACGAAGTGCCGTGATTGGAAACGACGATGAGTCGGCGATGAACAGTGAATGCAGGCATCAAACTGAAACCTCACAATGGCGGTTCTTGGGTAATACTGGTGGTAGCATGTTTCAGGTTCCACCACTGCTCGCTGTGGCATATGCACTTCTTGGCAGTGTCCTGCCAGCGCTGGCTGCGTCGACGCTTTGGAGCGCTTGCGATCTGAGAAGAGTTGCTCCCCCTCTCGTTGGCTTCCGTTCCGGATGACATTGAAGCATAGCGAGGGGGCTAAGACATGTATGGGCATTGGGCATTTTCTTGCATTGAAAGGCAGAGGCCCTTTGCTTCCCCCCCTACTCCACTGTCTCACACGCTTCTGAGGATCCTGGGCAACGCCAACGTCGACAAGTTGCCATTGGTTCGTGGCGTGCACCCGCTTGGCCGTGCGATCCTGGCAGTTGGGTCCACCTGCCTGATCATCAAGTCAAGCGAGCTGCTCCTCTCTGCTGGGTGGACGGGTCCTGCGGCCCTTCCGCTGCTGATGACGCTCAGCTTTCTTCAGTGGGCTCTGTTGGATGGCCGGCCTTTTGCACTGGCTTTGGGACTGGTAGCCGCTGTTGGCGGGCCGCTTGCAGAACTGCCCCTGATGTGGTTGGGCGCCTGGCACTACACCGCTCCTGACTACTGGCCATTGGCAGCTTTCGGCTTGGGGCCCACGAGCGGCTCAGCCTGGGCTGGCCTCTCCATGACGACTGGGCCATGCTACTTCGCCGTGACCACGGATGCCATTGCCCTTGGCAGGCTCTTTGCGAGAGATCGCACGGTTGACTGAGGGTGCATACAAGTTGCATGCACCCGAGTCCCTCCCTGCTGGGACCAAAGCTGTCCAGAAAGGAGCGCCAAAGTGCATACTTCTTGTATCGAAGATGCACGAAGCCCTGTGAAGGAGGATGCCTTGGGATCTTCCCCCTTATACCAACAGTCCGGACTATAACCAGGGGGGTGCTCTAATCCCTATGAAGGACTGTTAGTCTAAGGGGGGAACATCCCTAATGATGCCCGCTATAACCCTAAACCCTAAACCCTAAACCCTAACCCTAAACCCTGAACCCTAAACCCTAAACCCTTAAGCAGCCTCTGTTTTGCGCGAGGTGCGCATCTCTCGGAAGTGCGCCCGGCGCCTCTTCCGGCTGCTGGTGCCGCTCCCGAGATTCGGGGAGTGGTGAGTGTTGAGTGGATGTTCTGCAGAAGGGTCTCTCTCTCTCTCTCTCTCTCTCTCTCTCTCTCTCTCTCTCTCCCTCATCAGAATTCTCAGAGTTCTTCTCAGAATTCTTCAGAAATGTCCCTTTCGCTCCTTAACTGAGAGGGACAGCGTGATCAGACCTTGGTCTGAGACTCCAGGCCGCGGTGCCTCGGCCCTCCGCCTCCATCAGCCGCCTGCATCGCAATATCCCCGCTCTTAGCCCCCATTGTTCCCTACTATTCAAGTTACTATTCCCCCTTCATTCCCTATCACTCCCCATGATTCCCCATCGACGTTTCGAGCTGTCGTTCCACGAAAATCGCTGCTCCTGACAAGTGTTTTGAGGCAGTGGCGTGGGCAGCTCTGCTGAGCTGCCCCAGTTGGCGCAGCCTGAGCCAAGAGCCTACCTACCATTGCCCGCTGCGGCCCAGTTCCGGGCTTAGCTTTCGGGTCTTGAAGCTGCGAGAGACCTGCAGGCTTTGGGCAGTGGACGAGGTACAGAGCTCTGCAGGCAGGTGTTGAACCTGTATCTTCGACTTAAGAAGGGTCCTAGGTGCTGACAATGGCAGAGCCGTTTTCAAAGCTGTTCAGTCCCGAGTCCGGCCGGTGGCATCGCAATCGCTTGCCATGCGCTGGCATCTTTGGCCCTGTCTGCTTGCTCTGGTCACCCGCTGCGGTGGCACGAGCCCCTGCAACGACAAGCGGAGTTGCATAGCATATTTGCAAGACTGGCTTGCGCAACAGCCTGACTCAACAACATCGTCGAGGGCTGTTTGGGCATGGACGCACTTGGGGGCTGCAGGGGGTGGCAGCATCAACTCGCATTGGTATGGCCAGAAAGACTGCTTCGTGAAAGCTTTGGAGCTCGACCCCGACTACGCAGATGCATGGTCCCACTTGGGGGTTGCTGGAGGTGGCATGGTGGGTTCCAGGATGTTCAACCAGACCGATTGCTTCGTGAAAGTTCTGACGTTTAACCAGAACAGTTCAAGCGCGTGGTCCCACTTAGGCACAGCTGGGGGAGGCAAAGTCGGCTCCACCTGGTACAGTTGGAGGGAATGCTACGTGAAGTCCTTGGAGCTGGACCCCAGCTACGCGGACAGCTGGGCGAATTTGGGAGCGGCAGGAGGGGGCAAAGTCAGAGGTATCTGGTACGACCAGAAGGACTGCTATGCAAAGGCTTTGGAGATCGACCCTGCCAGCTCCAGCACTTGGTACAACCTGGGCGCAGCAGGAGGTGGACGTGTGAATGCCATCACTTTCAGTGATCGTGACTGCTATGTGCGGTCCCTGGAGCTCGACCCGAAGTTTGCACCTGCGTGGACCAACCTGGGTACCTGTGGTGGTGGGAAGGTGAAAGGCAGGTGTGATGGCGAGATGTGCAGTCCTAGAGATTGCTACGTGGCGGCCCTGGAAGTTGATCCCAAGTACACGGATGCCTGGTCCTTGTTGGGGGATCTTGGTGGGGGCCAGGTTGGCTCCAAAAGGTACAGTTGGAGAGACTGCAAGGCAAAGGCAAAGGCTGGGGCTCTGCACCAAGAGGCCCAGACCTGGTATAATTTTGGCCTCCTGGGTAGCGGCATGCTTGGAGCAAGACGCTGCAGCGAGGACGAGTGCTTCCAGAAGGCTGCAGACAGTCTTGACCAAGAATTGGAGGCTGCCGTGTCACGTCTCCCGATAAACAGTGCGACTGCGTTCCGGGATATCACAACGGTGCTGCTGGGCAGTTCGAGATATGAGTTCAAAGCTCGCATGGCGGCAGTGTATAGAAAGTGCCACCCACCGTCCCCGTCATGCATGAGCGCAGAGGCGCAGCAGGACCAGTTTGCGGCAGAGCTCGGGCGGCAGGTGCCGCACGAGCCAGATATGATTCGGGCAGTCTTGAAGGGCGCACTGAGCGAGATGCAGTACACCAAGAGCAAGCAAGTGGGCGATGAGCTACTGCTAAAGGCAGCCTGCAAGGCACAGAGAGCCTGGCAGCGCCAGCACACGTCAAGAAGGCTGGCAGCGCCTCAGGCAGAGCCCGCTAATTGACTTACGAGAACTCTCTCTCTCTCTCTGCCTGTCTCTCTGCTCTCTTTGTCTCTTTGCGTTGTGCTTTGCTGTACGTCTGGTCTTGCTTTCTGTCTGTGTTCTTCCTTCCTGCTTTCTTCTACAAAAGTCATGGCCTGAGGCTGTCAGGGGCGCGGTATCCTTCTTCTATCGTTCTGTCAGCGTCTGTCTTCATCTTAGCATGGCCTCAATTGGGGTAGTTTCCAAATCAGGGTCTTTTTCCGGAGCCTTGTTGCAAGGGATCCTTCATAAATGTCCTTACTCTTGGGGGCCCATGCAAGAGCAGCCCCCGTGGACCCGGTGCAGGGGCAGCGCAAGCTGGCGGCTGATCCCTGCAGCCCAGCGCCAGAGTCCACCGGGCGCCTTTGGGAAGGTGGCCGAGCCACAGGAGAGGGCCTCCGGGGATTTTGTGGCTTCCTTAAGTTGTGGTCTCCGTTTTGGGGGGGCACTTTTTGGCATCATCACAGACCATTCATGTATTTGTGTAAGGTTCAGGGGAGCGTAAGGTTCATGGGAGCACATTCGTAACAAAGCTGAGAGTGCAGGTGACCTATGGCAGTGGTTTCACGACGTTTCACGCCAACCATCATCAAACCTCTCCTGCAAAGGACTGAACAGTCGGGCCAACTGGGCTTTATTCGCATTCGCTGCTGTCGCATCTCTGACAGTGGCCTTTGCAGCTGCCTCCTTCGTATGGAGGAGCAGATGGATTCAGTTTCTTGTAAGCTTGACAGTTGCACTTGCTTTCTGTCGCTCAGAATGTTTGGTTGTTCTTGCGCAGTCAGGGGTGATTTTCCAATCCCGAGTTGCACTGGAAGCCAAAAATGTACTCCAAAAGCCCTTCAAGAGTGTCACTCCAGCGAATTTGGAGGCTACTGATCTTGTCCATCTCGGGGGGAGTTCAAGGCCTTCTTTCCAGCAAAAACGGACTTTGTGTTGGAACGGATGCCATGCGTACCTATGCATGAGACGTTAAAGAACTGGAGTTCTCCAGGCCCTAGGGTTTATGTTTCAGTTCATCTCAATGCCTGTTAATCCAAACCAAAAGGTGCATGAAGCGACTGCAACTGACCAGATAGAAGTTTCAAGGTCTTTGACATAGGCCAAGCCAGCCCCAACAACAGGTCCCAGACGCTCACTCGCATGCACGCTCGCATGAGCATCATGAGAGCGGGAGAAGAAAAGTGGAGGTCAGGGGAAGGGGCCTAACATGCCAAGCACATGGCAGATCTGGCAGGGGGTGGATACTTTCTCGCCACAGGAGGCAGTCGGTTTCCTTCCGAGTATTGGTACCAGACGACGAAGTTCGCATGACAGAGAGGTAGGACGCTGGCCTGCTCCTGAGTTTGCTGAGACTCCGCGTACTACTTTGGGCATCGCTGGCACCTCTCAGGTTTCGGCCGGCTGCTTTGACTCCGGTGGTCCTTAGAGACCCGGGCTTCTTGAAAGTTTTGCAGTTTTGTACATGCCGGTGCTTCAGCCTGCGGATGAAGCACTGACTTTTGCTGGGCTTCACAAAGAAGGCCCCATTGAGGACCGCAGCTTTCGGCAAACAGCCAGTCGCCCTTGCTAAGCAAGTCGAGACATACAGAGAACTGTGCCCATGCCATTTTTCTGGGCATGTGCTGCTGAGCGAGAAAACATTTCTGTTACCAGCAACGGCATGCTTGAGTGCATCTCACTCCGAGATTCCCTGATGCTGACCCTCAAGCCATCAGCTGAGAGCGCACAGTACAGCTCGTTGCGCATGGACAGGCCGCGTGCAAAAGCCTGTAGAGGTGAAGGCGCCAGGGCCTCAGAGAGGCGACAAGGTCATGCTTGGGACCACCCTACTGTATGCCCCTTTGCTTTTAACTTCAACCCTCGAGGCAGACTGCCCGACGATCAGGTTCGGGTGTGCTGTAGTGTGCTGTGGTGTGCTGCAGTGTGCCGTAGCGTGCTGCTGTGTCTTGCTGTGTGTTGCTGCTGGGTGCAGTGGCTACATGTGGTGGCATCACAAAAGGATCTGAGTGCGACAATCACACATCAGGCGCTTCCGTGAGGGCTCCTACTTCTCGCCGCCTGGGCTGCTTTCAAGATGATCTGAAGTTGTTGTCTTAAGTCCCCCAAGCCACGAGAGTGGGTCCCAGGTTCCCCGGAACGGCGGGAGTCCAAGATCTCCGCAGGCCAAGATTCGGGACGGAGCTCGGGACTGAAGAAATCCCAACCCTTGCGAACGGATTTCAAAGTGTTAAGGCTCCGAGTCTAGGGTGAACCGTTCTTCCCAGGTGTTGTTCGAGGCTTGCTGCATCCTGTATGCTGCATGCAGGCCGGGGACGACCTGCTGAGGCCTTGGATGATTCACGTTAGTCCCGCATTCTTCGGAAAGCCAGTCCGCAGAACCGTGTGTGATGCCTGGTCGCCATGTTGTGCTGAGTTTCCTTTCTTCTATACTAGCTGTCCATCTATTGACATGTGATGGACTTGCACTTGCAGGTCAAGCGGTCTTACTCCTTGATCTTAATGCAGCAGTTCGATTTGATGGATCGTGGTACCAAGCATGTGTTTCCCAGTTCAGCCACCCACGGAGAATCAGTGACAACGGATCACGAGCCCCAAGTCTCACAGCGGAATGCCCGGCTCGTCCAGCTGTTGCACTTGGGAAAGTGCAAACTTCGCAAGAGACGGACTTGGCAGAGCCCCAAGACCCAAGTAGCCTATCGGACCCAGGCGGATTGAAATTGCACAGTGACTGTTCGGGCAGGCGGCTCCTGCCGATCCTGCGCCACCTGCGCTGCAGAGGATCGGGCGTCGACAAGAGACACCCAACGGTCACATGGCCGTGTGATGGCGTGCGTCTGGCCATGTTAAGCCTGCTGGCTGAGTCGCGGTCACTTTGTGAACTGCAGGAGTCCTGGTGGCGTGCTTGGCTCAGGGCGCCCGATTGCACTCGAGCACGTGTGCAGAAGCTTCCACATTCTACATTTGATATGCAACCCTGGGTGTCCTTTTGAAGCCATTGTTGAGCCTCTGTCTCAATTTTGACGGTGTCGTTCAATTATACAGGGATAGTTGTCGTTCCCCCTCTGCTTTTTCCAAATGGTGGAAAGCTGTTCTTTCTAGGTGGACATGTCTCATTGATCATTGGCAAAAAAAGGGCAAGCACTTCGTTCTCGGTTTGTATTTCACTGCTCGGGACGGTTTCTGTATAGCGTGCCACTTGAGATGTTCAAATTTTTCGAAGTTTCTCGTCAACTTTCATCGGAGACAATGTATTCCGCATGCTCTCGTTTCACGTGTTAGTGAAGTTCGCTCGGTCCTCTTGATGCTCTTCAAGGACTTGGAGCGGCTTTGTGGTGTGCTTTAGATTTTCGCTTCTTGCTCGGACAGCTCTTCGGAGACTCCAGAGATACAAGGAATCATAAACCCTACTTCATATCATTCGAGATACTGTACGACAGCTCCCCCTGCAATCAGGTTCACCTGCAAGAGCACATACGGAAGCATTGGCAGCACGGTCTCAGAAGCGACAGCCAGGGCCCCGGTGGGTTTGTTGTGCCTAGGCGGCGACAGATTGCAGGCGTTGAGCGGCTGAAGCTTTCTATCCGCTGCAGGCGCAGACGCAGATCGGCAATCACCACAGCCTGCAGCGAGGCCTCTTCTTCTATCCATGAGTCTTGCCTGTCTTGCTCCAGAAGATTTCCTTTTTGTTCCCCACCCTCGGTGTGGGGTTGTTAGATTTTAAGCTCAACTCTTCTCCTCGCCCGGAACTCTTCTCCTCGACCGGAACTCTTCTCCTCGCCCGGTCTACTCCTCGCCCATCCCTGGAGTGCCCAAACCCAAACTGTCCCTGCCCAATGCCAGAGTATCTCTACCAAGGGAGGGTGGGGATGTTCGAAGTAAATGATTTCTTCAGTTGCTGCCGCTGGCCCTGCGCGGCGCAGGGCAGTATTTCACCCGATCGTTGTGTCAGGAAGCCCTCCTTGCTGAGCCAACGCTCGGTTTCGGGATCGAGCCTTGCGTCGTCGGCCCGGCACTTCCGGCAAGGCTGCTTCACCCATCGACTGCTGCCCCAAAGTAAGACCAAAGAAGCTGCGGGCACAGAGGCCACCACGAGCATCGGGAGCAGCGGCCACGGTGTACCCCTTGGTGGCATGTTAGAACCTTTAGGGCAATGCAACCTACTGCAAGGTCAACGGCTTGTAACAATTTATGTTGCCGGTGTGCGTTGGCCTTCTTCTGCCCCGTGGTTCGAGCCTTGTCCATTTGTACGCGAGTTCGTAGGTGGTAGTTGAAGCCATGGGATGTGGTGCGAGCTCCGTTATGCCAGTGGGGCCAGCAGTGAAGGCCGCACGGAACGAGAAGCTCATTGATTCCAGGTCGGTTTTTCACTTGGAGGGTAAGGCAATGGTCGAGTGTGAAGTGTCGCCTCTACTGAAGAGCTACGATTCTTGGCACCATGTCCTGGATGCTGAGGATGTTGAGGCCCTTAGGGGGGGTCGTGCTGTGGCTGTCAACCAGTTAGGGCACCATTACTTCGCTCTACGAATGGAGTTCTCTATCCTTGGGCTCACAGGGGATTCCTCGGAGCTCAAACGTGTCGTGGACGAGCGCCGCATGTCGAAAGGAGACCACACCGCAGAGACAGCAGAGACCACGGAGACTGCGGAAACGGACTCCTCTTTGACTTCCGACTCCCCCTGCAGAAGCTCTGGGAGGGTGAGGGTGATGTGCAAGTCTCTGTCCGTCGCATGATAGCATATGAATGCTTAAAAGCATCGGGAGGGGAAGATCTCAACATGGTCCCCCACCGGAGCTGCCAGACTTGTCCCTACAAACAGGTACTTCTGGCTCATCCGCTCATCCTGAGTTCTTTTCATGCGCTGATGCAACAGGAGCTGCCAGTTTCAGAGAGTGGGTGTGTTGTGCAAGCTGTGTCAGCTGCGGGGTGTGTTTTCCAACACTTCATCTCACGAAGCGGTGTTTCATGCTCAATTCTAAACACATGGTGCTGGTGCAACCCCACAGCTCATGCAGTCAGATCCTTGCACTCTGATGCTGTGGCAATCTGCTTGGAGTACATTGTATTGTGTGTTCCAAGGCGACAATCCTTTTTCAACTTTCTCAAGCGTTGTGCACAGACCTGGCAGTGGCTGCGGCAGGCTGCAACCCGGGCCATCTGCACAGCATGCACTCAGCGGAGTGCATCCCCCCCCCAAGGGAATCGGAGGATACATTGACAGCTGCCCTTGACTGGCAGGTCTGACCGAATAGTCGCTATGTTTGGCTGGTGGCCATGAGAGAGAGAGAGAGAGAGAGAGAGAGAGAACATGATCTACGATTAGACTGCCCTTGCTTGGCGCTCCAAGCCGAACAGGCCGTATGATTAAGTTCTGCACATAGTATAGACTGCCACCTGGATGTGAAAGTTGTGGTTTTTACGCACTATCTGCAATCTACAAGTCTTGCAGAACGATGTGCTTCAAACAAGGGAAAGCTCTCAGGATTTAGATCTCGGGTTGCCATGCTTGGAACTCTCCGTTGCGCATCGAAGAGGAGTCACACTAAGCATGCAAAATGGATCCCTCCTTCTCGACGCGACCTTGTACGTAAGCTGTCGGCAGGTCTAACATGGTCTCGTGAAGTACCGTTACCTGTTACTTTACTCAGTCATAGCCATGTGGCCATCAGCCTCGAGCGCATGTAATTTGTGCGTTCCAAATGGCGATTGCACTTAGTCCTGTGTGCGGAGCTCGCAGGCATTTTCGTGCACGGTGTCTCTTTCTGAAGGCTGTCCATGCTTCTGCATCGCTCGGTCAGAGTTCAAATCATTTGCTCTTTTTTTAATGGGTTTTTTTCGGGGAAGCCGGAGTTGCCATGTGCTAAGAGTTCCTGCACTGGGGTTTGTTTACGGCAAAGAGAGGATCATCTATCATGTTTATCGGCGGCTGACCATTGAAGACGGACAACCTCACGTGCGCTGTCAGTTCGAGACGGCAGCAACTCACTAGATTCTGCAAGCTACGCTCTCATCGTTGTCATGAGAAGCATCATGAAGCATGACATGCCCTTTTGTAGAGCATTTGGCGCATGTAGGGCATGCACCTGGTTCGCATTCCAAGTCGAAGATGCTGCGTGTTGTTGTAAGTTTCATGTTGATGTTGAAGCTGTCTCGAGCGCATGTAATTTGTGCGTTCCAAATGGCGATTGCACTTAGTCCTGTGTGCGGAGCTCGCAGGCATTTTCGTGCACGGTGTCTCTTTCTGAAGGCTGTCCATGCTTCTGCATCGCTCGGTCAGAGTTCAAATCATTTGCTCTTTTTTTAATGGGTTTTTTTCGGGGAAGCCGGAGTTGCCATGTGCTAAGAGTTCCTGCACTGGGGTTTGTTTACGGCAAAGAGAGGATCATCTATCATGTTTATCGGCGGCTGACCATTGAAGACGGACAACCTCACGTGCGCTGTCAGTTCGAGACGGCAGCAACTCACTAGATTCTGCAAGCTACGCTCTCATCGTTGTCATGAGAAGCATCATGAAGCATGACATGCCCTTTTGTAGAGCATTTGATCGTGATCTCCGATGTCTGTCCCACAAGGGTGCTTCGACACGAGAAGCGATTCTCCACATGGTTCTTTTCATCCGCATGAGAGGCCCTCTTTGAAAGGAATCCCAGGAACGGAAAGCAACATCTGCCTCAGCAAAACAGACCTGGAAAGCTTTGTTCTGCTGGAGCCGAGCAGGCTGTACGCAGTTGCTCCAGCCGTTTCATGTTTCTTTGCACAAGATAGACTTCCCTGTCCTGCTGAGATGAACAAGCGTGACCGCGAGGCCTTTCTGTGAGAAGGGTGTTGCTGCTAATGATGGCACAGCATAGCTTGAGGTTGGGGGTTCGAGATGGTTCGAGAGTCGTGGTGCCTCTGCTTCCTGCCACTTCTTTTTGCCGGAAACATGTTCACAAGCGTTGTTGCAGCCAGTCCGCGAAATCTTTGGCACAGGATAGCATCAAGCCCCTTTCTCACTACTCAAAGCTTCACGCACTCCTGTCATGAATAGGCCTGGCGCAGAGAGCTCTCGCTTCAGTCTCTGCTGGACTTTGAAGCAGAGGCAGTCATCGCCTGTCTTTGGACGGTCATAGTGCAAGGCTGTTTTGAGTTCTCATGTCTTGAGACAGGTGCGAGCGCGGCAGGAGCACCCATCATCAGCAACGTCAGATTCCCAGCTGAACACTTCTTAGGGATCAAGAGATCCTAAAATCCTGAACACTAAACCCTTCAACCTGCCATGTCCGAATGTCCTACAGGTCCAGCGACCACGAGCCACAGCGCGAGCCGCCTGCATCCTCGCGGGGAGCTCGGGTGCTCCGGTGCTTGCGAGTTGCTTGTTGGTTCTCCTGGACTGCTGCACGGCAATTGTAGTATGCAGTATTCTGTTGTTTCACTATATATTGTGTCGTATCAATGCATACTTATTACAGAGCCATAGTGACAATGAAGAGCTATTGTCAAATTGATAGTCGTGTCTTTGTTGTGCTTCTCTCAAGTATCCAGGCCACGGCCCGCTGCGGGGGAGCCCTTTGACTCGCCACCCTGTTCGGTTAGGCCGGCCTTGATGTTCGAAGGAGTAGAGGTACTTGGGCACCTGCGACCGTTAGCCCGGTGAGAGAGACAGGCCAATTATGGCATGCCTATGAAGCTGGGAAGACTCGTGTGTGAGTTCAGTTCTCAAGCTTGAACTCTCTTCTGCTATACCAGTCAAGTGTTCAGGTGTTGCCGCTTGTTCCAGATCTTACATGGTAGGTGACGCTTCGAGAACCAAGTTGAACATCTTGCTATCGTTTTTCGTGCGCCATCTTGGACTTTGACGATAGTCCTGTCCCGAGAATCCCGAAGACCGTATGCCAACTGCAGGAAACAGTAGGTGCCATCACCACTGACACCAGCAGCAGCAGCAGCAGCAGCAGCAGCAGCAGCAGCAGCAGCAGCAGCAGCAGCAGCAGCAGCAGCAGCAGCAGCAGCAGCAGCACTTGTAGCAACACCCCAGCAACCACACTTGCAATGTGCAACGAAGCGAGTAACTTTCGTGCACGAGACAAGCACGCAGTTCTTTTTAAAGCCATGCAGACCTTCGTCTCCTTCCGAGATCGCAGTCTGCAACAGGGCCAGCTGCACGCAGCTAATTCTTATCGTCTTTCCTGCAAGGCTGCGGAATGTGGAGGATCACCACAAGGCGGCATCGTTGAGTTCTCTGTGGCTGCGATCCCGTACACCGCACCTGAAGTAGTTGTGTTGCAAAGGTGGCGCAGCGAGAATCCGAGACGAGGCCCGCTCAGAGCTGCGAGGGGCTTAAGCTCCCTAGTATGATTTATCGTAGCGTGCTTTGCAGAAGCAGCTTTGCGAGCAAGGGCACACAACTGCAAGCGAACAGTGTCAGTTCCAAGTCGCTCAATCGCTTGCATAGTCTATGGCATTGAGTTCTTCGCTAAAGCCTCAGGCGGCTCACTCCCGAAGCGTTCCGAAGTTCTCCAGTTGCAAGACGTTGAGTGCAAGGCTACCCATTGGCAGCCGCCATGGCTCTGATATACTTCGGTTGTCTTTTCATGGACTCGTCATCGTTCGAGATGTGTTAGTGGCGGCAGGGTTCATGTAGTATGACTGACGCCCAAGCCCCTTGCCCCCGGTGATACAGAAGGTTACTTTTCGAGAGACGTCTGAGAATAAAGTCGGACCATTCCCCAAGGTGGAAAGCAGGAGTCAAATCTCGAAACCCTAAACCCCAAAACCCCCCCTTGTTGAGGGCTCTTCAGGGCCTCGGCATCCGCGGCCATGTCAATCCTGTAGTTCCTCGTCCTTCTGCCATGGTGCAGAACTCACAATCGATGCCGGTGCTGCGGAGCACGCGGAGCCAGCGTGGATTAGGAAGGATGGGCACCGCGAGTGGCCCCCTGCCAGCAGGAGGTTCCTGTTTGGGTCATACGAATGAAGAAGGCTACACGGATTTAGAGACGATTTCTCTGCAGTCACGCTAAGGCAAGGAACGATGTCCGATGCCACGTCTTCCGACACCAGCACAAACCCCACTTCCCGCGTCCCGAGGAGACTCTGCACCTGCCCTCTGTAGCCTTGAAGCTCCAGAGCATCCTAGGGCCCCCTAAACACCTTCGACAGCCGAGCTTCGCAACCCAGCGGCCAGAGGAAAGAGTTGCTTTCATGAAGGTCGCTTCTCCAAATGCGGAATCTCTAGGGCAGGCATGGGCCACCGGCACATGAGATGAAAGGTATCCTAAGGTCAGACGGTCATACTTGCAGAAAAGCTGCCGCACCCTTCTGGGCTGAGTCCATGTCAAGTCAGTTCCACGGAAATCTTGTCCTCCGCAGGATGGGATCTTCAGCTTCCTTCGAAGGAGCATGGCAGCTTCACACCCGTTAAGCTTCTTTGCTGAACTGTGTGGCCAGTCCACCGCAAGAATATCAAAAAGGGTCAGGGTGTCAATTCTTCTGCTGGTAGACATCCGAGGCGGCGAGATCCCATGATGATCTCTGTTGGGGACCTGTCTCCATGTTGTGATTCAGCAAAGCTGTTTCTTTTTTTTGGCGTTCTTCGGATGGTTGAAGCCTGTGTTGCCGTGCCTCCAAACGCAAGATTACAGCGACACACGCCAGGAAGCGTGTGCTCCGAAAGCAGCGCAGCGACATCCACTCAGATGTGCTTCTTGCGCCGCTTCACTGCAGCTGGAGTTTGCAATCGCACCGAGGCATTTTTCCGATTGCCTAGCTGAGCTTAGCTGGGGGCTAAATGGGACTTGGGGGACGGCTGGCCTGATGTCTCAGGGATTCCCCCCCCCCCCCCTTTTCGCTGAGTAACCTGATAACGTGGGGTGGGGGGAACCCCCCCCACCTTGAACCCCCCTCCTCGCTCCTGCCACCTAATGTCAACATACTGCAGATGAATTTCCGCAAGAAGTTTAAACCTAACGCTTACGTGTCAACATGCTGCAACGGAATTTCCCAGCAAGAACTGTAAACCCAACGCCTAAACTCTCCCAGGTTATTTGAGCCTACAGCTTGCGAGTCCCCCAAAGTCCCAATCCTTTGCCGTGGCAGCTGCAAGTTAACCCTGTCCGCCGAAAACCACCGGCAGTGTGCCACCTTCGGGGCGCTGTCTTTCGTTCGCCCTAAGCATGTGCTGTGGCTGCCCCATCCACAAAGCATCTTGACACCTCAGGCAGGTGGTGTCGCCCAAGAGCAAGATTGACCCTCTGCGAAAGAAGGAGCGCGATGACAAGAGGCATGGCGACAGAGGCCCGGGAGACAGACCCAATATGGCTGATCAATGTTTTGCCGCTTTTTTTGTCCGTATGCCGATTTTGCCACTTCCACTGATTTCTACCTACGACTTCTACTACTTCTGCTCGGTCTCAGGCCTCAACCGCGGCGAGCGCCAGAGGCTTCTCGGCCTTCTTGGCTGTGTGCTGTGATGTGCTGTGCCATGGCCGGCGGAGCCTAACAGTTAGCCTAGCACACCCTAACACCGAGACCTGCTGCCAAGGCTTCCCAATGCAGTTCCCGCGGAGGAACAGCCAGCAGAGACTGTGAGGACTCTGGAGGGGCTCGCCCTGGGTCTCAACAGAATCTGTGACTTTGCTAGGACCCCTGCAACGCCCTTGAAGCTGCCCACGCCTCAGCCAAACCCACGCGATCGTGCTCTGAATCTCGGAGTGCTCTTAGCAACTCTTCTGTGCATTTCTTTTTTCGCAAACGACTCGGAACCAGTGAGCGCTTAGCCCCGAGCCAGGCGGCTGGTGTAGGCCACCCCTACAGAAAACCCTTGCAATCTCGCAGTACAGGTTTTAGGGGTGTTCAGGGGTACCTGATGCAACCGAAGCACCACCCAGGAATCTAGCGCGACGGATGAGTGGTGCTCAAGAGACGTCCCGCTCTCGGCCTGCAGACGCATCGCTACGCCAAGCAGCAACTGAACAAGCTCGGTAGCACTTGCACGATGTCGGAGGGGTGCCGGTGCACCTTCGGCAGCGCTGGATCCATCGACAGCAGTGGTGGGAAAGGAGAGCAGAAGTGGAGAGCAGAAGTGGAGCGAATGGAGTGAATGTGGGTCAGAAGGGGGACCCAAACCGAGGGACGCGAGCATTTGCCAGGAGGGTGCAAATTGCGACTTGCCCGAGCCTAGCAAATGGCGGCGAGGCTTCGCGCATGTCTTGCGTGCAGCTTGCGCGTCTCGTCCGCCTCTTGTGCCTTTTCGGCTTCTAGTTTCTGCATGTCTACACACCAGTCGCATGTGCAGGTGCTTTGGTTCCGAGTGTGGACGACTGCCTTGAGAGATTATATACAGACATTGTTCCGGCGGAAGATGTTACCCGCATGAGAGTGAGCCTGGCCGGCACATAGATGCAAAGTCTTACAAGGTTGGAGCAGCAGTGGGCTTTTGAAGGGCACCATGATGCGTCATGTGAGTCAGGCTGCATGAAAACGACATTAAAGCCTGTTCTCATTTTTGCCACTATCCAGCTGTCAAGGATGTTCTCCCGCTATGCGAAATCTGGCTTCGAGCTGAGCAAGGATGACTTGCCAGAGGTCCTGAGCCGCTGGGGCTCGCTATGGCTCGCTTTCTCAGTCAGGGCAGAATGGCGGAGAGAGTGAGCTGAGCAGATCACAGACGTCGCCAAACTCGTGTTTAGTTCACTTAGTTCAGCCACCGATGTAGGTTTGTAGGGGAACCTGTCGCGAAATTCTGATGACCCTGCGGTCTTTCATCCTTCTTTTCTGAACCTGAACGTGCGTGACGCAAAAGGTCTCCTTGTGTAAGCAACAGCAGGAGTCAGCACTTCTCAGATCTCCTGTATCTCCTTCGGTTATGACTGTAAGTGGACTGACATGCTGCAAGATATCGCCAAGCAAATCGGGGTGAGCAACTGCTGTTTAACGCCTGTATACGTATATGAATCGCAAAGAACAGTGGACAACTTGAATTACGCACAGAATATCACGGGAGGGGGGGCTGAGCAGTAGCGCACAGCATGATGGTGTGTTGAAGTGTCGTGACCGCCCCTCCAAGCCTCCAAGGACGTCTTCACTTCTTCCTTGTAGCGGCAGATGCCCTGATGCAATCAGTCATGTCAGAACCAAAACGTGGAAACCATGGGCCCGTTTACCCCAGCTATGAGGACTGCACAGGAATAAAGTAGTAAAGGGGACCCAAAGTTTGGATTAGTTACGCTCCAGGCTGTCATTGTGCCATACGATGGTTCCTAAGGATAAATGCCAGCAAATCGCCAAAGAGACTACCAGCTTCGATGTCATGGATTTCAACGACTTCCAGGACTTCTATGAGCGTTTCGCTTCGTCCCTTGGCAGTGTCAGAACTCTTGAGCTTGTTGGCTTCAGAGGCTTGTCGCCACTCCTACGTTCAAAAGGAACCCTCAACGCCATTCCTCTGCAGTTCGCTGTGTGCAGGTACGAGCGACAGGCCCTCCACATGAAGTTGAAGAGGCCCTTCTTTGAGCCCTTCTGTTGCGGGTGGCACTGTGCACTGATGTGCACTGCATGGGCTTGGGACTTGGCCAGGTGGCGTCCGGTGCCTCCCTCGACCCCTGGCTCCGATGTCCCTGTTGTCCTTTCGTCGTTTGAGTGGCGGGTTGATAGCGGCATTGCTGCCTTCCGCCTCGGTTGAGGATGTATGGCTTGAGGGCAGGACGCTCGTGAGCGGATGTTCGTGCATTTTCGGTTCGAAGGGCGCCTTGAGCTGTTGGCGAAGATAGTGGATGGGTAGCGGGGCTAATTATCGGAGTAGCGGCAGATTCGCAAGTGAGCTGTGTGGATGTCATGGCATGATGCGGCAGGGTCAACAGCCACCAAGGAAGTTTGCCCCGGTTCCCACCGAGCGGGAAAAGGAACTGCAGGCCGCAGGGGAGACAAAAGGGTTCAACCTTGATCAAGGAGGCCTTCAGGCCTTTTGACTGATGCTCGATGTTTTTCAGAGTGTCTTGGTTAGTTGCCTGTCGCTGTCAGGCACTGCACCACTTGCGGGGCGTTCTGCGAAATTTCGGCGGCTCGGATGTGCCGAGAGTTCTTTCAGAATACGTTTGCGCCTGTCCATGTGGCATAACACCTTCGCCTGTTAACCTTGTTTTGTTCGCTGACGTCCTGTCTCTCCCGTACGCTAGCAACTCGCACCTTTCCATGACTTCCTGCAGGCACCTTCGGGAAATCTTGGCAACCGCAGTTTGCACGCTAGCAACAAATACGCGCATAACGTGGATGCTGTGGGCAAAGCAGCCTAAGGGCGTGCGGCACTGCCCGCAAGTC